TTCTTGTTTGAGCTTACTATGCATGCAAGCGCACGGACCAGCCACGTGAGAGAATTCCTGTTTCCAATTTGCACGAAGCACACGGCGCGCTTCTCTACGGTTCCGCTGGTTTCGTTTAGATTTCGGCATCAAGGAAGCAAAATGTCCCTCAAGAACGTGCCTGCCATACTGCCAGCCCTAAACACTCAAGCACAGGCGTTTGTGGCTCACTCGTAACCGGCGCGCCTCGCGCAGCTTCTCGGAGAAAATAGTAAGCGATTCCTATCTACTCCGTGCAAGATGCTGCAATCCAGCAAACGTCCCGGCAGAAGAAACTGTTTAACTGGAATTGCTTCCCCTTTCATGGATGAGCCCACCTGGCACGTTATCAGTTACGCCTTTTTTAACCTAAAAGGTTTTTTTGTTTTGTTTTTCGCGATTCATTGAAGTACATATTCATACGTGTTTACTGCTGATTTATGTCCATACGTTGTATCTCGTAATCCCGGCATTTAAATTCGCTATGTGCGAGTTCCCATATAACATGACATTTAAAATATCAAACTAAAATGCGCATCCGAAAGAGTTTGTTTTAAACGGGTTCGACTTAGTACTGTTGTAACGATATCAAACGTCTGAAAAATTTGACAAACCAGCGCACGCCCAGTATACGCGCTAAGTGGAAAGTGCTCGCTGATTCGCCGATTCTTTAAATGAGCTCTTCTGAAAGCATCTTTATTGTCCCTGAAACAGGGGTATTAGATTGCCGTCCAAAGAATGTGCGTTCACAAAGACTCGAGCTACCAAATAAACATACAAATATGCATCTTTTATACTGGTGCTCATTTACGTTCTTTATTAGAGCCCAGCTCTAAGGCGCCTGTTTCCGCGTTTCGCGGCGTCGGCGTCGCTGTCAGCGCAACCACCCCGCTAAATTTAGCGGAAAATTTAATTGGTGTTGACATCACGTAACGTCAATTTTCCCGATAAATCTAGTAGAGAAACTGAATTTTTACAGCGGAGCTGTTAAGGGCTTGGTTCCCCACGATCGTGTCCCGTACCAAACAAAGGTCGACACAAAACTCTGGACAGCTGCTGCCATCTATGAACGACGGCGTCAAACAGGCAACCGGCCTGCCGGCCTCGCCAACGTTATTAGATTAGCTCAGTTACGGAACTGCTCATTGACGCCGCATGCGCGAACAGTACCCCCCTCACTCACCACGACTCGCCAAGCGTAAAGTCCCTTGATACTTCTTATACAAGTAACGACAACCCATACAAATGACAAAGCAGATTCCACTGGAAGCGAATGGCGGCATTCAGTTCAAACCTCTGCTGTGCGCCGCCATTCGCTTCCTAAAACCTGCACCGTCACGCAGTCGGCGCTTCAAAGAATGTCGCTACTTGTAGGAAGGTCTTATCTAGGGACTTTAGCCAAGCGTAGCTCGACGCGCCGCCAGACGGCTGCTTTGGTAACTGAATCAGGAGACGTAAGTTTCAACGTTACTAGAAACGTAAAAACCAACGGAAAAAAACTATTTTTGTAGTAACTTTTATTGGAGTTTAGTACAAAATGGGGGGCGCGTGATGTTTTCTAAAATCTTTAGTTTGCTAGGTTTTGCGGCACAATAATATATTTTTAATACAACCATGCCTCAGCGGTAATTTCAGGTAACGCGTCCCGACCTAGGCTCATCTTAACTTCAGGGTGAATTCGCGGCGAGTCCGCTGAGAAGACGGGGGTGGCATCCATGTAACCTCCGTAACTGCATCTTTGTAGCGTACATGTTCCTATTGTATACCGGTGTGATTTACGTCTTGCAGTTTACAGTGTCAATAAACTTTTCTTTAAACCCTTTCCACTGTATCTGTTTCGGCTCCGAAATGGCCGATCGAAGCCAAACCAAAATAGATGTTAGGTGCGGTTCCTCGAGTGACCGCTGCAGGGTAAATGGCGGCGTTGTGATCGCCATTTGGCGCTTCAGCTGGGCTCTTCGGAACGCATAGTTATGAAACGCAAATATAGATGGCGCTTTGAACGACGCTTCGGCTTGGCGGATTGAAGTGAGTGACGGGGGTACCCCCCTCCGCGGGAGTTCCACAACTGAGGTAATCCGATAACGTTGGGCCTCGCTCATAGATGGCGGCAACCTTTCCAGCCTTTCCCCTCTGGTTTTCACCAGAGCGCAGAAGCTCAATTTCTCTAGGCGTCGTCCTAGATGTCGTCCTCGAGATTGTTTTACAAGTCGTCCTTGAGGTCATCTTAGACGTCGTCCTTGAGGCTACCCCCAGGTCGCCCTAAAAGTTATCCTCGAGTTCGTCCTAGAGGTCCTCTTAAAAATCGTCCTTGGGGTCGTCCTAGACATATTCCTCAAGGTCATCTTAAAAGTCGTCCTTGAGGTCGTCCTAAACGTCGTCCTTGGGGTCGTCCTAGACGTTGTGTCTTAGGTCGTCTTAGGCATTACCCTTGAGGCCGTCGTAGACGTCGTCCTTGAGGTCGTCCTCGAGATTGTCCTAGAAGTTGTCCTAGAGGACGTCCTAGACGTCGCCCTTGAGGTCGTCCTAAGCGTCGTCCTCTAGGCGTCGTCCTCGAGGTCGTCTTAGAAGTCATCCTTGAGGTCGTCCAAGAAGTCGTCCTTGAGGTCGTCCTAGACGTTGTGTCTTAGGTCGTCTTAGGCATTACCCTTGAGGCCGTCGTAGACGTCGTCCTTGAGGTCGTCCTCGAGATTGTCCTAGAAGTTGTCCTAGAGGACGTCCTAGACGTCGCCCTTGAGGTCGTCCTAGGCGTCGTCCTCTAGGCGTCGTCCTCGAGGTCGTCTTAGAAGTTATCCTTGAGGTCGTCCAAGAAGTCGTCCTTGGGGTCGTCCTAGACGTTGTGTCTTAGGTCGTCTTAAACATTACCCTTGAGGCCGTCGTAGACGTCGTCCTTGAGGTCGTCCTCGAGATTGTCCTAGGAGTTGTCCTAGAGGACGTCCTAGACGTCGCACTTGAGGTCGTCCTAAGCGTCGTCCTCTAGGCGTCGTCCTCGAGGTCGTCTTAGAAGTCATCCTTGAGGTCGTCCAAGAAGTCGTCCTTGAGGTCGTCCTAGACGTTGTGTCTTAGGTCGTCTTAGGCATTACCCTTGAGGCCGTCGTAGACGTCGTCCTTGAGGTCGTCCTCGAGATTGTCCTAGAAGTTGTCCTAGAGGACGTCCTAGACGTCGCCCTTGAGGTCGTCCTAGGCGTCGTCCTCTAGGCGTCGTCCTCGAGGTCGTCTTAGAAGTCATCCTTGAGGTCGTCCAAGAAGTCGTCCTTGGGGTCGTCCTAGACGTTGTGTCTTAGGTCGTCTTAGGCATTACCCTTGAGGCCGTCGTAGACGTCGTCCTTGAAGTCGTCCTCGAGATTGTCCTAGAAGTTGTCCTAGAGGACGTCCTAGACGTCGCCCTTGAGGTCGTCCTAGGCGTCGTCCTCTAGGCGTCGTCCTCGAGGTCGTCTTAGAAGTCATCCTTGAGGTCGTCCAAGAAGTCGTCCTTGAGGTCGTCTCATCATAGTACAGCTTCGCTTGTCTTCCTTCTTCACCAGGGTGGAAAGGCTGAAAGTTTTTTACACGAAGTCATGTGACGTCATTTTCCCCACGAAATTTTGCGGGGAAACTGAATTCGTGTTGAGGTCACGTGACGTCAATTTCCCCGCTATATTGAGTGGAGAAATTGACGTCACGTGACCTAAAACATCAATTCAGATTCCCCGCTAAATTTAGCCGGGAAAATGCCGTCACATGATTTCGTGTCATATCACCCATGAACAATTTCAGCAGGAGGAGGAGAGGAGAGGGAAAGGAGGAGGAGAAGAGAAGGAGTAGGAGAAGGAGATGAAAATTAGAAGGGAAGAGGTGGGAAGGAGGAGAAGAGGAGGGCAGCAGGTGGGGGAGGAAAGGAAGGGAGGAGGAGGTCGAGGAGGACAGGAGGAGCACGAGGAGGAGGAGGGGAGGAGGAGAGAAGGAGGGAAGGAGGCAGAGGGGATGGTACGGAGTAGGAAGAGGGGCACACCCTCCCCTCCGTACCCTCCTCTCCTCCTCCTTAAGAGCTGCGCTCTAGTTTTGCATTACGGAGATTAGTAAACGTCTTTCATTTCTTGTGACGCTCTTTTCATCTTCCTAGATCTTTCTTTGCTTTGACCAAACAGCAGGGCGCATGCGGTGCCCACCTTGGTCGTTAAATAAATACGTTTCAATGAATGAATGTGTTGTGTCTTGGTGTTGCCTCTATGCATTTGTACGTATACATGATTTACACGTGACATCACGGCACGATGTGGATGGTCATTCCCAGTCGTTCTTAGAAAGAGAACCACTCTTAAGTGCGAGATATATGCAGTAGTCAGCTACGTTCTCAGTGCCAAGGCCATCAGAATGGCACCTGATGTCGCGTCATCAGAAGCCGCGTGGCCTGCATAGTGTCGTCACCATGCTGGTGGTCATTCTTACTTGTTGCCGAGAAAAAATAATTAGGTCGTGCGAAATGTATGCTGCAAAAGGAACGCGCTTAGTACCAATGCCACCACAATCAATAACTGGTGATGTGATATGCAAGCTATATAGAAATGGTCCGCCCTAATAAAAACATTTATTTTCTTTGCCTCACACGAAAGGAAAAAAAAAGAAACAAGGCGAAAAGCTGCGAACTTGCATCTTGACAGTGCCCGGGCAACAATTGACGCCGCATCAACGGCCATTAAAGTGGTTTTGCTACTGAGCCCATATTTTCTGGAGCAAACACTTAGCAGCACAGAATGTGTTTCTATATTAAGAACATTTGCGAGTTGCTACCAGCTTTGCGTGATCAAATCAAATCAAATCAGTTTATTTTCTGCCACAAAGATACATGCGTTACAAGGGCGCTGGAAAAAAGCTGCACTTTTGCAGCTTGACGAGTCCCAGCGCCCTAACACAAAACGTAACATGCGAGCCATCTGTTACCCCAAGAGCTTCTAAACTTTGATTCCACAAAAAAACTTTCTCCACTTTGCATTCCACCGCAGGAGGTGTGCGACGTTGGCGGTGGCGCGGCGGGCGGCGGCGTTGGAGCCACCTCTCCGCGAATGTCGTCGTCGGGCGGCTCGGTGTCCGTGGAGGTGGCCGAGCCCACGTCGTGCATCGTGGTGGACTTCTGCGAGAACGCGGGCTTCACCTGCCACGACCTGCCGTCGCCGACGACCGAGCTGGCCCCGATGCCCCGAGACTGGATCGCCATGCAGCTAGGCAGGCAGCGACAAGCCTTCGCCTGGCTCCAGCAGGCGTCGCCCAGGTCCATCCTCGAGGGACTGCTCCTCATGAACGTCGAGCGAAACAGTTGAGTAGACATTGGGACTCTGTAAGAGGACTGCATCTGAACGCGTCTTCAACTGGATGAATTAGCATCAGATATAGGCTGTTTTTAGTGCATCAGCAATAGCGCCCTGGTACATTCGCTGATATTGGACGGGTTTGGAACATCCAAAGTTTGTAATGTCACCCCCGGGATGGCGCCACAGCCCCACTGGCTATGAAAACTGGCTAGGAAATACCTTCTGAAAGAGCTGGCGGATGGCAGCAGAGTGCATATTTCGAGAGGCTAGGCGATAGGACGCACAGCAATGGAGGTTACGCGGAATCGGCTGGTTATAGGGAGCGACGCCGTGAGGCATCACATCACAACCGAAGATCACTGCAGCGACGTCCCCCTTCGACAATGTCGGTGCCCTGCAGTGGGGGTTGGTGGGTGTATCACTGGGGCGCGTGTTAACCCATCACCCCGATCCCGGTGCTTTGCGGCGATATTATGCGGATTGCTCATTTCAAAATATTAACCCACCTTCGCACCTGTACACGCCGCATGGTGGCGCCCTGTCGGAGGCCCAAGCACGGCCCAGCCCCGCTGTACCCCACTGCACCTCGGTTGCTGATGTTAAGTCACGTCGTCGCTCTCTATAACCAGCCAATCCTGTGCGGCCGCCGTTGCTGTGCGTCCTATCGCCTAGCCTCTCGAAATAAGTGGCCAGGAACGGGTGCGCGCTTTTATCACCCTTGGAAGCCCCTGCCGCGGCTTTGCAGACCCAAGGATGAACACGGACTGCGGTTCTGTTCTTCCGCCTGCCACGTCGTCCTTGACGCGCAGTCGCCTTACCATGTCATCGGGCCGTAAGCGCACGGTGCCGTCGCCCCTGTATGCACATGCATGCACAACAACAAAATGCCTCCTTCGTTTTCCGCGAATCACGCGCACATCCATCGTGCACACGATAAGTGACCTGATCTGCTTGCACCAGGAAGAAGAGGGGTTTCGTGAATGTTGACCTCGCGGAAAAGTGCTGAGGGGCTGCATTCACAATGATTTGTTATACTATATAACCGTTGCCGAAATGCTAACGTATATATTTTTTTGAGAATCAGCGTGGTGGCAGCAGCGATTTCGGCGCATTTGTTTTACAGCGATAGTTGTTATGAGTTGTGATATATTCAAAATGACGACGTCCGGCGTCTGTCGTAGTGTTACGTGTTCTGAGTCTCACATCACTCTGTCACGCCATGATGCCATTCGAGGTGTAGACGTCACATAAAATTATATTCAAATCGTCCATGGAAATCAAAGTGCTATAATATTCAAGTCTATAGAAATTCAATAAATATAATTTCTCGGCGTCAGCACGTCACGTGACTGCTAGCGTAGCCCCGTAGTTTTTTAACCCCAGTGCGAGGTTGGTGGCCATGGGGCCAACTATGAAAAAGGCGAAATGTGGTAATTAGTTAGATCACGGCCTAAACAGTTTTGATTACTTTATATCTTAGGAGGGGGGGGGGGGGGGCTTAGTAATAAAGGTATGCTTCAAATGTAGTTTGAATATATGTAATATGCATATTTGTTTTGATTTAATTTCGTAAATATTGCAAATATACTTTGCATTACATCAACATTATGCCAGAAATTTATATACATATTTTTTATCTTTTTTTGTAATATGCCAGAATTAGGGCGACATATATTTTGCGTATATTTCAAAATGTGGCAGACATACGGGCACATTTTCTGTCTATTTTAAAATACGCCAAAGATATGTGAACATATTTTCTATATATCTAAATATTCGCCAAAGATATGCGCAAAACCTTTTTTTAATATACTAGACATTTGTCTTAAATCTATATGAAAGATAGTTTAATGCATTAGGCATCGACATAGATCAATGTTTATAGTGCATTTAAAATACACGCAAGTGTACTTTAAGTACAAACATCAAATATACACGAGATGTACTACTGAAATGGTATGATTATAAGCTTCTTAAAGGGACACTGACAGAATATTGATGCTGTCCAAGGTGCCTTTTTTGTTTTCTTTCAATGACATATGAGAGCCGAACTGCCTGGACAATGTGCCGCTCAAATTTTGTTTTTGTTTTTTCCCCGAAAACCTCCGATCGAGAATTGGCCGGTTTGAGTCGCGCTCACTTTCTTCTCCGTGCGCAGGTGCCAATTTTTCTGGTTTAAAGACAACCACCCAAAACAATGGAAGTCGTGGGTCATCAAAGGCAAACAATCAAAATTAAAAATGGAAAAAAATGTAGTACCTATTTTTTGTGGCTTCCAAACACTGCAAATGCGGTGACTGAAAAAAAAAAAAAGTTGCACTTAGAGCTGGAAGCCCCCTGTGCATTCTCTGTGTAATTCTAAGTATTGCGTCGTATCACGGGAGTTCCGGGCTGGACGGCTGGACGAAGCGGCCTAAGTGATGGCGGCGGTCGACGGGCGTGGGACGCTCTACTTCAGAACGGTTGTTTGCGGTGCCGGCGAATCGGTCTAGCGAAAGAAACAGGCCGATCAAAACAGCTAGGATTCATTCCGTACGACACGCCCGATCACCAAGCTGATCCGCACGAAGACGTCCCCAAGTCGTCGTCCCTTTTTCTGGCTGAAGACATCGCTCGTCTTATACGAACACGACTTAGTAAGAGCTTGAAAAACGCGCGAACATCAAGCGCGAAGTGCTTCCTTTTATGTCTCTCATGCGACGTGCGTCGCGCGCGTCTTTCGTCTCCTTTGCACGGCCGAAAGAAATGAAGGAAAAAACAAAAGCATACGCGGTCAGGTGTAGCCACGCGACTTCCGGCAACTCTCTCATTGTCTTCATTTCTTCTTCCTCCCCAGCTCAGTATCGGGCTCGGTTTCGAGCAGTTGCGATATTTTCATATTAAAAATAGCGCAAAAGAGATGGAACAAAAAGACGAAGAAGCACACAGGACAAACTCTGTCCCGTCTCTTTTGCGCTATTTTTAATATGAATGTCCACTACCAACTTGCCCAGCAGACCAAGCTTTTGCAATATTTTCCTTTACTATATAAAAACTACACGTGACGATTGCAAAATATTGATCTGGTAGTCTTTGGACACCATATTAAATAAAACTTTGGTTGGGGCTAGTTGGTTCATATCGATTAAAAGGTTAAAAGGCGCGAACAAACAGGACGAAGAAAGAGACACGTACGACACGGACAGGCGCCAACTTCCAACTGATTTATTAAAACACGAATCATCGTCAAACTCGATCCCACTCGCCTAAACACATGCAACTGATAAAAATTCCTATCTCTCATTACACACATCCTTCAAGAAACACAATTTTTTTGGTTAAAAGATAAAGAGATGGCACGCTTACGGATCTGTCAGCCGCTTTGTGTATACAGAAAGAATCGATTAGTTCTCTTTCCATTTTTTCATTTCCTTTCTTGGTAAACCTTGTGCGCTCAAACAATGGACCAGAATAGACTGCCGGTCAGCTTTGATCAGCGGGTTGCACGCTTGACGAGGGCCCGTTACCCGAAGAGCTTAGTGACAATTGTGTGTGAAAGGCTCTTACAGAAAATTAAACTAGAGGGTGTTGACAAAAGTTCTGAAAAGACAGACAAGATGCCAGTGCAGGTGATACCATATTTGCACAAAGTGTCCCACAATTTAAAAAAAGATGGATGTTCGACACAGGGTTAACGTCGTCTTCTCAGCCCCGTGCAAACTTTCAAAGATATGCCCCGCGATGACTAAACGAATGTCTGTAGTGTGCTCAAAGAAACATGTAACAAGATACACCGAATGCGTGACTAAGGTGGTGTATGAAATTCCTTTCAGTTGCGGCCAAGTTTACATCGGTCAGACCGGCCGATGTTTTAATGAAAGAGCGCGCGAACATAAGCTTGCCGTACGCAATAATTGGGGTGGGCATCTTGCGGACCACTGCAAACGATGTGGGTGCGAACCTTTGTTTGAGCGCACAAGGTTTATCAAGAAAGGGAATGAAAAAATGAAAAGAGAACTAATCGATTCTTTCTGTATACACAAAGCGGCTGACAGATGCGTAAGCATGCCATCTCTTTATCTTTTAACCAAAGAAATTGTGTTTCTTGAAGGATGTGTGTAATGAGAGATAATAATTTTTATCAGTTGCAAGTGTTTAGGCGAGTGGGATTGAGTTTGACGATGATTCGAGTTTTAATAAATCAGTTGGAAGTTGGCGCCTGTCCGTGTCGTACGTGTCTCTTTTTTCGTCCTGTTTGTTCGCGCCTTTTAACCTTTTAATCCATATTAAATCGTCTGCAAAAAAGTACAAAAACATTGAGTGTGTTTATGGTCGCTTTAATACAGTGCTTGTACAGAAGTTTATCGTGCAAACGAGCAGGTGGTGGCTGAACATATTAAAAACAGTAAAAGTATTTGTAGAAACAGGAATATAGTAAAACTTTTGACCATCCAGCCAAAAAGGCAGAGCCCTATATACTGAGAGTGTTCGGCCGATGGGCGCAGTTCTAAGAAAATTCTATTGACATCATTTCACTGGAACACCGTGCTACAAGAAGCGGGCTTTACGTTGCCACGTATAATGTGGAGGTTTTTGCTGTTGGCCACTCCACTATCCATGCGCTAGTTCAAATTTGCGGTGAGGTGTTTAATTAGCATAATGATTTGTACTCTGACTTTTTTTTCATGCCTGAAATTCTTCACTGTATCCGAACACCGGTCATGTTTTATTTATCTCCGAAACCATACTTTCTGTATAATCTTTTTTTTCTGTTGATTTTAAACGAAATCATTCATTCTTAAACAAAAATAAATCTGGCATGGAGCGCGGGTTTCGCAGCGCCTCTCCTAGATGGCGCCCGTCGCGGCACTGCACGCATTTAGGTGCTGGTCCAGTTCTGGGCCATAATATTCAAAATATTTGTTGTACATTTTTGACAAAAAAAGAATAAATTGAAGATCATATCTTTTTAACAGATAATGGCATATAAGTAAGTTCGAGCGGCTGATTGTGTCTACAGCACCA